ATGACACCGAATCGAAATAAACGACAAGTAACTTCTGCTACTGCGGATCACCTGCACTTTATCCAAGTAGATGTAACATTCATTTAGAAGGGGTGAGATATTATAACCATATAAAAGAAAGCATAATAATCAGCAAATAGAAATTTATTACACATAGTCATACGTCCTTCATCTCACACCTTCACATAATCTTACAACAATCAACTGGCATGCCAAATATCCAATAAGACAATCCAACAACATATATCATCCGTTACGATATAACACATATATCATTTACACAGTTCAACAACATAGTAATAATGCGATGTAACGAGACCGACTCAATGCAAGTGGTACCAACAGGACATAAGCCCTCATCATTATGCAGAATAGGACAGTAACAGAGTATAATCCCTCATCATAACACCAGTACTGGAAATCGGTAGGGCATAAGCCCTCACCATGAATGCATGCAACATCGATATGCAATAACATATTATGCATTAATATTCCTATCCACCAATACAACACGCTAACACAGGCCATCATCATCTTCAATCCTGTAGAAATAACAATACAATGATATCACAATCAATAACAACATGTTTGCAAACATCCAACAACACAACATCATGATATTACAATTCACAAATAATATTATCAACTCATCATGTTATATTAAATGACAATAAAACAACATCACAACATCACAACAACACAACATCCTAGTACTACAACTCACAAAGCATGTCATTACAACATATAATCGAGTTTAACAATTCTTTGCAACCAACATACAAGTATCCCCATCTTAACAAAACCAAAATTACAACCCCTAATCATCATGTAAACCGTATATAAACTCAACATTTAAATGAGCATAGCACCCCACATGGCAAGGTATTATTGATATACATCATAAGCAACACAACACCAAAATACATGCCATTTTACACAACCATGCATTAATTAGATCATCTACTGCCAACAAAACTGTTTTTATTTAAAAGGGTATTACACTAGATTTCTAAGCTCTGACCGGTACCCCAAAACGGATTCACGGTTTGAAAATTATGAATTTTCAAAGTTCTAGTAAAAATGCAAACACCAACATCATACACTGAAACCACAAAACCTCATTACACACCAATTAAATTTATTTCCAGAACATGAAATTATTTTTCAAGAAAGTACACTGCATTAGCTTTCCGTAGGTTCAAACGGTGCGTCAAACGGACACCAGAATCAAAAGTTATGAATTTTACAAATTTTAAAATTTTTTGTCTATTTCAGGACCAAACGGCGGTCACCATCAGCCTAACGACAGTCACCATTAGCACACAATAGTAGAAAAACGCGAAATCAGTTATTTCCTCAGTTCCAACCCCAAAATCCCAATTTTCCAACTAAAACAGTGTCTCACAATTTCATAAATCATATACATGCATTACCCATCATTCAAATTCATTTTACATCATCAATTTTATCAATTTCATCACAAAACATCAACAATTCATCAATAATACTCAATCACACAAAACATAATTTTTAGAACATAAGAACACACAACTATGATAACCCAATCACTATCATAACCCATCATTATGCAATCCGTTATAAAGTTAGAACCCACCTTACTTTAGATTGATGATTCTCAGCTTCTACAATGAATTCTCTTGCCCTAACCTCTTGTGCCCTCTTCTCCTCTTCACTATTTTCACGATTCAGTTTTCTCATTCTCTTCTTCTCACAATTTCCATGATCGCCACAATGAATCTCAAAGACTCATTTTTCCTTGTTTAACTCTTAGACCCCTATTATGGTCTTTCCATCATACCCTCACTTAATCCTCACAAAATGGTCATCTCACCCTTACTGTTTCCATACACCATATTCTCTTTATTGTATTTTAACAATTAATAATTCCAAATAATACTAACTATATCATTTAAATTATATTCATTCTCATTCACATTAATTCAACACTACTCCACAACAATTCATATATTACCCAACAAATATTAACATATTCATCAATAATTCACTGATATTCATAATAACTCAATTAAATAATTAATTATGAATTTTAGGGTGTTACAATGTAGATCAAAGTCTCTACAGAAGTATAATAAGAAGTTTCCTATACCTCACAGCTAGCAGACATGATATTACATTTGTTGTTGGTATATGTGCTAGATATCAAGCAAAACCCAAGGCTAGTCATCTCATCCAAGTGAAGACTTATGACTATGGCATATTGTAGTATAATGATACAAATCCTATATTTGTAGGCATTGTAATGCATATTGGACTGAAAGTGCTGATGACAAAAAAAGTACTTTAGATGGGTGTTTCTTTCTTGGAAACAGTATGATTTCTTGGTTCAACAAGAAGCAAAATTATGTCTCTCTATCTACTGCTGAAGCTGAGTATATTGATGTTGGAAGCAGTTGCACTCAATTACTTTAGATGAAACAGATGCTAAAGGAGTACAATATTAAACAAGATGTCATGATATTGTTTTGTGACAACATGAGTGCCATAAATATTTTAAAGAAACCTTTCCAACACAGTAGAACCAAGCATATTGAAATTCATCACCATTTCATTAGAGACCTTGTGGAGGATAAAGTGGTCAATTTAGAGTACATTGCAATTGGCCAGTAGCTAACTGACATATTTACAAAGCCATTAGATGTTGTTCACTTTGAAAAATTAAGAAGTACGCTTGGTGTGTGCATATGTGACATACTATGGCAATTAATGCTAGGGAAACATGCAAGGAGGCCAAGCCTAATCCTACTTATTATTCTCTTTGATACACGTATATTCAGGGGTGATTTATTTCACTATTTTTATTTGGACAATCGATACAAACAATAGAAAAGTTCTTTTATCCTTATCCGATAATAGAAAATTAGTTCTCTCTCATTTCTTTCAAGTGTGTGTGCTTGCCAATATGATCCAGAACCAAGATAATTCCAAAAAGACTTCCTCTAGGAAGAGAATCAACATCGACAAGGCTCTTGAGAGGTTTCTTGAGGCTGAGAGAACCAATAACAAGGAAGATGGTCCCTCTTATCATGCAAATGTTGAAGGATCACATGGTGGACCATCTACTGAAGCAGTTGTACATGTGAAAACTTCTGTTAATAGGATAAAGACGTGAAGAAGAAACCAATGCAAGAAAGTGACTCAGAGGCTGATACATACTAGGTTAACTACCCGACTTTCATCAAGCATTAAGACTGAAGTCCGCTTGGTTAAAGGGAACTTCTGATCCTGGTGGTAATTCTTTGTGTTGACCCTTTACGGAAGTGACAAAATAGGGTAACAAAAGGGAAGTTAAGCCTAAATTGAAACAAATTATATCTTGTTGGGGGAGATTTAAGGAGAAAATAATATCTAACATATTATGCATGAATTCTGGACGAAATCAAATCAAATATCCATGAAGAAAAGCCCAAAATTATTATGCTATATAAGGAGCTCAAAACCTACATTGTAAGTCAAGCAATACATTGAAGAATTTGAGTGTTAGTGCTTATATTGAGTGTTTATTATTGATGTATATACACCACTATGTTTCAGTAGCTTGGCATAATTGGTTTGTCTATAGTTGAGTGGTAGTATTCAACATTGATTATTGAGTTGTAATCTCCAATCACATGTTGTGTGATTGAGAAAGAAAGTGAGTAGGTTCTCATGTGTAGGGAAGTCCTAAATAGAAAGTCATTGAATAATGTTAGGATGAGACATTGAACAACATATGGGTTGTCGTTGCTTGTAAGACTGGATTTACTAAGCTACCAATAGTAAATTTTCTATTTTGGATTGTGGAGTCAATCCTCCAGACGTAGGTGCAGGTTGCATCAAACTGAGTTATCAATTGATTGTGTTATTTACTATTTTTCTGTTCCATCATATTGTATAAATATTGCTGTCATGTTGGTGCAACTTAGTTGGACCAGTTGTTCCAACATCGAGTACGACATCTGTCTCTTGAGGAATATAATTTCATATTGTATTCTTATTGGAAGTAATATGATCTCATGGAAAAACAAGAAACAACATACAATTGCACTATCTAGTGCTGAAGATGAATATTGTGCTACGGTAGCATCATAAAAGGAGCTTTCATGGCTTACATATTTACTCTCATAGCTTAGGTTAGGAGATCTTCAGGCCAATAAACTCATATGTGGCAATCAAATACCACTATATATTACATCTAATCTGATTTTTTATGAACGAACCAAATACATAGAAATAAACTGTCATTATGTGAGAGACAAGATACTTTCTGAAGAAATCACCACAAATTTAATCAAATCTGAAGACTAATTAACTGATATGTTCACTAAGTCTCTTAGTGATTATCGATTGAAGTACATTTATAAAATACTGACATATATAATTCTGTTCGAGTGAGAGTGTTAAGAATCCATCAAAATCAATTAGTAGTAATAAATTTTAATCTTATATAAATGTTAATCAATACATTACATATAAATATACATGAGATATGATCTCATTTGACACTGAACAATATACAAAAATATTTTTCAATACTCTATAATACTTCATACCTTTAATATCGGCTGTATGAATCTATGATCTTTTATAATATAATGTTCAAATTTTTATATTTTGATATTTAAATAAGAGAAAAAAGAATCTACATAAATAATGTAAAATATTTTTATACGGTAAATCAATAAGAAATATCTATCCAACTAAATCACATTTTAATTTTAAAGTACTGATATAACATACTTGAATTGAATGTTAGTAAAACTAATTTATACGCAAAGTGCAGTAACTTTAATCTCTTTAAATAAAATCAATTAACCCTATATTACTAAAATAATTCCAAATTTATTTTCAAAACAAAAAGTAAAAAAAAACTTAGAACACGCACCTAAAATTAAGGGTTTATTAAACAAGTAGATGGTCTCTTCCCGACACTGAGAGTGAGTCACCCACACGAGCAGTTCTTGTTACTGTTTCTCTCAGAAATGGGAAATGTGAACGCTAATCCTTCCCAACAAGACGAACAAGCTTTTTCCACCACCGTGCCGGTGAACGGAGATTTAACCGATAACGCCATGCTGACTCACTCTCCTCCCACAAGCCCTAGAGCTACTCATTCTCCACTCATCTTCACTCCTCAAGTATCTCCCACTTTTTATTTCATTGTAGACACACACACGATGTTACTGTTTGATTTTGACATTCTTGTTACCTTCACAACTCTTGTTGTCTTGTTCTTTTGTCTCTGCTAAGAACATGTTTTTGAATTTTTAAGGTTCCTGTTGTTCCTTTACAAAGACCTGATGAGATGCATTCATGGACACAAACTACTTCTAGTTATGAAGATATGTACACACAACACGCAATTCCAATTTTGATTACTTGGAGTTATGGTGGTAAAGATATTTCTGTTGAGGGATCTTGGGATAATTGGAAATCAAGGTTTTTTTTTTTTTTTTTTCTTTTGAAACTTCAATATCTTAGAAAATTTGTTGATGGTTTTTAGATTCTGATGTTTTTGTTTTGTTTTGTTTGTTAGAACTCGATTGCAGAGATCAGGTAAAGATTTTACTATATTGAAGGTGCTTCCCTCTGGTGTTTACCAGTATAGATTTGTTGTTGATGGAAGATGTAGTTATGCTCCGGATTTGCCTTGGGCTCAAGATGAAGCTGGGAATTCTTACAATATCTTGGACTTACAGGTGCTATTTTATTGTTGAACAAAATTGATACTATGTAAAAGTCAGGGCCGTCTTTGATGGCATGTAAGGCTTTTGATATTAGAATATAGTATATGTTAAGGAATGTTGATTTAGCTACATGCAGCATGATAAAGGGACTTGTGCATAAAATGGATTCATTGTTATTGAGGATTACTTTTCAGTACATTGGGACTCTATGCACTTTTTGATAACTGATGTTTTTTCTTTTCTTTTTTTAACACGCGGGTTTCTCGCACTGCTTAATGATGCTTCTTCATACTAATTGATTCACTTTTTGCTACTTTTTGTGTGTTTGATCTTGCATAAAGGGAACAGAGATTTCAAATTTCCTTTTCCTTGTAAACACAGATGGAGTCACTTGCATGTTTTGAACATTTTTGCAAGCTTTTAAATTCAGTAGTCCTGTTTATTTCCCAATGCGTGTGAATGTAGACAGTGACAATTTTTTGGGTGGTAACGAAAATCAGCTTTGAGAGAGAGAGGGGGAAGGGTAGGAGATGAAGTAAATACTGAACTTTTTATGCCACGACATAGATAGTATTCCCTAGCTAAAATAAAATTAGAATTGGTTCCAATATTTCAATTATGTGAATGTGTCTGCCTATGTTAGCCAGAGCAGTTAAAGGTGAAAGATGCTGGAGGTTTTCATGGCTGGAGATGAGAAACACAAAAAGGCACTCACCTTACTAAAGAAAGTTCTTAACCATTTGAAAATTAATCAGTTAAATATTTTAATGTAGATAGGAGACTTGTAGATTCTGTGGTAAGAAGAGTAGATCAGATGGAGATGAGGCAAACAACTAGAGGTAGAGGAAGACCTAGAAAAGCTATTATAGAAGTTATTTAGAAAGATCTCGAGATCAACGATTTGGATAGAAGTATGGTCGTGGATCGAACATTATGGCGGAAGTTGATCCATGTTGCCGATCCTATTTAGTGGGATAGGGCTTGATTGTTGTTGTTGTTGTTGTTGTTTGTTTCATCGATTTTCCATATACACTATAACACATAAAAAACCAATCTGGTTCTATAAAGCTTGTGATCTGATAATAGCATGGTCCCGGGAAGGGTTGGATCCATTGTGAATTTATATCGAAAAGGCTTATCTTGCATTTGTGAGATGCTAATTTCATGGCTTGATCTTGAAGCCTTCTAGTGATGTAGTAGCAACTTGAACTGTTGCACCAGGGCTCCTCTTCTACTACATTATGTAGATTTCAAATACTCTCATGATACTTGGCAGTCAGTATGTCTGCATTCTTTTACTGCTAGAAGCCATTGTTGACATCACTAATGCTTTTTTAATATATGTAGGATTATGTTCCTGAAGACATTGGAAGCATTTCTGGTTTTGAACCTCCTCAATCACCAACCTCAAGTTATGATAATTCACAGCTTAGTTCTGAAGATTACGCAAAGGAACCGCCATTAGTTCCTCCCCACTTTGCAACTACACTGCTAAATTTGCGTACAACAAACATGAAAATCCAACCTCCTATGCCAAGACCACAACATGGAGTGCTCAATCATCTTTTCATGCAGAAAGAAAAGAGTAGTAATTCTGTGGTTGCCCTTGGTACAACGCATCGTTATCTGGCCAAATATGTCACTGTGGTGCTTTACAAGTCTTTGCAGAGGTAAATCATGCACACAAGTGAGATGAGCCACAGTCATTAACATCAAGATCACTACAATAAAGTCAAGATTGTACGGGTATAATTTAATTGTTCAACAGGCATTTATCAGATAATTTAGTTTCAATTCTTACATATTTGATTATACTTTTGTCAAGAAATTTTGATTGAGTGATCAAAAGGATAAAATAATTCCCGCGTTCTTCTCATCACTTATAGATGGACAACAATTTGGCGATTAAGCTATTTTGCGGTTCATGTCCACCATATTTTCATTTTCATCTTTAGTGTCTTTGTTATGTTTTGGTTGGGTATGGTTTTCATCACTTATTAGAGATTTTGTGATCATTCTCCTGTAATTTAACTTTTGCTAGTATAAAGAAGTCTTTTGATTTTGTTAAGAGAATGAGTTTTATAAATAAACTGTGTACATAGTTTACCATGCCCAATATTTTTTTGAACTTTTTTAAATTATCCGGACAAAATTGACGTACACATGTAACAAGCGAGAAACATGTACACTATAAATGCTAAGCAATTAGTTATTGACGTAGTCCCTTCACCGATACTTCTTCACGAACACTTCTCTATTAGAATACAGGACAACGATCAACTATAATTCCTGGTGCAGTAGGGCAAGAAGCCAATGGGCAATAGTCTATTTTAGTTCCCCACCATTTGAAACTGTGGCCGGCATTTTGCAGAGCAAAGAAAATCAAAACAGCCATAAGAGCCGTGCCTGTGTCAAGCGTCACTGATAAAACATAATTGTATTTCTGCCACCAACGTTTGTAGGAGCGGAACACAAACAGGAACTGGCAACACAGGTCCAATCAAGAATAACCATACCAGGTTCCGGTACAATCCACCAGGTCCGGATAGCCGTCTTGGTCCGATCAAACCCCATATAACCGATGCATCAAATGTGACTCGGTATTTCATGCAAGTCCAAGGACTGTCACGGTGAGCTTCATCGTCCATGCAAATGTCCTTAATGCTATCCAACATTGGACTCCAGCAACTAGAGTTCCCACCAACTATTTAAACATTTCAAAATCAATAAATACATAAATAATGTTCGATAAGAAAAAAAGAGAGCTTAAATTCGGAGATTTAGAGATGAAAAAGACCTGTGCTATAAACATGCATCGGGGAGGAATTTTCATGTAGTGCCCTAGTTTGCTATCTGACAAGAAAGAGAGTGCATGGGCGGTGGTGATTCTACCATAAATCTTGAAGATCAAATTTGCAATTGGTGTTCCAGGAGGGATATACCCAATCATGAAGTGTGCTATCATGTCATATCCAAGTTGCTGCAGGGTAAAATTTTAAACTCCTCTAAGCATCAAAATATTATATCACAATCGAGATTCGATAGGAAAGAAAAGTACTATACTAGAGATGGATGAAATACCTGGTTGGTAGTTAGCTTGGATGACACCAATTGGGAGGGTTACAACAGATGCTAAGGCAAAAGCTAAGAGCATACCCCAGCATGGAAGTTGAACATCCACTTTCCACACTAAAGACATTATTATGGATAATGCCATGCTCCCAAATAATACAATGAGGAACCACCATTCTGGTACTGTCTTATAAGCCTTCATGAGTCTACCATGCACATCCAGTTTTACATTACTCATTGCTGTTCGGCTTTGTCTCAATATGTTACTGCCCTTAAACAACGCTACATGAGTAAGGGTTGCCGTAAACCTTGCGAAAACTGATCCAATAGATAATGTGAAGAGAGAACTAAGGTATAACTTGCTATATTTGTTGTATGCATCAATGTTAAGATTATATTCCTTGGTTAAGATCTTAGTAGTGTCATACTTTTGTCCACTGTGAGTGAACAACTGATTAGAAAATATAGGAAACTTCCTAGCATCAAAAGTGTTAAACTTCCAGTAACATATAAGTAGAATTATATAGACGAACATGACAAATCCAACTCCCATATTAACAATGGAAGTCCACGGTGCAACAAGAGGGCTGCCATGATAAGCAGAAATTCCAGCCCAATCAAACGTGAAGGCGCCGACTCCAAGTCCTTGGTAACCTGATCCAACTTGATGTGCTGTTACATTATTCGGCCACACGTAGCAAACCAATGAGAAGAATGTTAAGACCGCGAAAAGATAACCAGGGAGCGCATAATACGCGAAGCTTAGACCCGTTGCAATGAGGAAAAACTGCATCCTTGTTAGTCCTTTTGATTTTTCATTTTTTTCATGGAGAGCCCTGTAACATAAGGTTAATGATGTAATCAGACTAGTATTAGAGAATAAATTAGTAGTTATAAACCAGCAACAAAATTAACTAATCTCAACGTATTAGTGTCAACGTTTCAGTGTGTCACGTAACACATTTCAATCTATCCAAACCCTATTAACAACTCAATTTACAAAAAAATTAACAACCAACTATATAAAGCAAACTTATCACAGAATATTTGTAACCATATATATATATATATACGTCTCTCCTGCCATTTGAGCGAGATTTGATTTTGCTTACTCTGAAGTAATTTTTTATGATTCACCCCTTATAAATCAAATAAACCATTTTCACCACACCCTTTTACTTGGTTTGCTGACTGCGTGTATGATAATTTGCTACGTGATAATTGCAATGGGGTGACTGTATATGATAAATCTAGGGTTTTTATTCTCCTTCCGTTTCATTCTTCACCTTCATTCCAATCTTCTATCTTCGTTTTTTCTTCCCTTTCGTCTCAATCCTCAGCTTCGTAATCCTGCGTCATTCTTCTTCGTCCCCTCAATTGGAAGCATGGTTGGAAGTAGTTCTCTTGGAAGCAGTGTTAATTCAGTTTTGTTTCCTGGATTACCCAGATGTGGTTGTGATAGAGCAATGAAGATGTGGGTGTCCAACACAGTTCAAAATCGCAATCAAAAGTTTTGGAAATATCGCAATGCTGAGGTAAGTTTGTTTGTTGATTAATTGGCAAAAATTGATATCAAGTTTTGATTTTTATTAATGTTAACAAAAGTTTTGATTTTTGTAGACTGGGAATAGCTGTGAACTATTCCTATGGGACGATGAAATTGGAGACTCCATCAAAGGAAATAGTATTATTCAACCATTTTGTAAGAAGTGTGAGGTACTAGAAGTGAAATTGGAAACAGTAACAAAGAAATTGGAGAAATTGAAGATGAAGCTTGAAGCTCAGAGAAGGATTAATATGCAGCTCAAGATAGCATTTGTTATGTGTTGTTTGATTATTGGTCTATTGTATAATTTCATGTAATTTTTAGTTGGTTCAATAGTTGTATTTTTCTGGTTATCAGTATAATGTATTTTGGATAATCTTGATATTAATGGAAAGAATTATGTTTCTGTCAAACATCTTGAATATCTTTGGAACATCTTGATATTGCGTTTCTGCATAAAAAGAACATTCACTGCTTTCTGAAAAGTGCATTCACTTGTTAAGACATTACAAAAGAACCAAACTTAAGGCATTACATAACAGCGCCAAACTTAAGACATTACAAAACAACACCAAACTTGCGCATAAGTCAAACAATACAAAAGGAGCACCAAACTTGTGCATAAGTCAAACAGTACAAAAGGAGCACCAAACTTGTGCATAAGTCAAACAGTACAAAAGGAGCACCAAACTTGTGCATATCAGAAACATTAGTTAACTGTCACATCAGAAAACATTACAGAAAGAGCACCAAACTTGTGCATATAAGAAGCAACGTTATAAATCATAAATTGATTTCTTCTTTGGAGGCTTCTTAGGGGAACTCCTTGGAACCTTATTAGGGGAACTCTTTGCAGCCTTCTTAGGTGTACCCTTTGTTGATTTTTTAGTAGCACTCTTTGTAGCCTTCTTTGCAGTTTGTGATGCATTTCCTTCTTCTTCTTCTTCTTCAGTCAAGTACATAGGTTGCTCTGGATCAAAACCAGGACCTGTGAATGGTTTTGGTTTTTTAAATCAATTCTCCTTAATTCTCTCACTTGACCTCTTTCTCAATAGTTTGGATTCTTGTTTGACTTTAGCCTTGCCTTTGTTCATGGTACATGTTGAGCCTATACTTGTTGTTGTTTGTATACTTGGAGTTATATCGGGTAGGCTTGAAATCATATCATCAGTTATATCCCCAAACAATGAAGCTTTACTTTAAACATTCACTGCATCAGATGCATCATTCACTACAACAACTACACTTTGAGAATTCATTGTAGCAGCTTCAATACCTTGACTTGTTTCAGTGTGAACATCTGCAACATTTGAATCAACACTTGATCTCACCCTCTTATGCAAAAAGATACTAGTTACATACCAATCTACAACCATACACAAAATACAAAAAATATACTAGTCACATACCTTTCTTTTCAAGGCATTTGGATCTTGTTTCTTGCTCTTGCATGACTTTACATTATGTCTAAACTTGTCACACTTAGTGCATCTATAGAACACACCAAATAACTTTCTTCTAGCACCTTCCTCACCAGTCTCCCTAATTCTCAATTTTCTTGGTCTACTAGGTTCCTTTTTTGTAGTTAGGAGGTAAAAGCTCTTCACTTTTAACCTCATGCCACATTTTTGCCCATTTATAGGACTAACTTCAAATACATAACACATGGCATACTTATCCCTAGTGTAACATTCATGAACAAATATTTTTGGGTTCTGCTGCCTAAATCCTAAGGCAGCAACAACATACCTATAGGGAATACCTGCTAACTCCAAAAAATTACAAGTGCACGACCTTTTACCTATATCAAATATGAATTATTGGGTGTTATAAGAATGAGTGACTTGAAATTTTTCTCCCATTGACCAAGTTGGCATCCACTGACCACTCATAGCTACCTTAATGTCTAATCTTTTCCTAGGAATTGTCATAACTCTGTGTGGATACTTATCAAGTTTTAAAGTAGAATTACTAAACCTATTCATGAGTTATTTCCTAATTCATTCACACATTATCAATATAGGTTTGTCTCTAGCAATTAAAATTGTGGCTCTCAATGGTTGTATGGTAGGTGATGGTCTCTCAATGTTGATCTTTACAGTATTTCCAGCATTTACCCTATACAACTCAACTGCATATCTCCACAGACTTGCATATTGCTTGTCTGCATCTCCTTCTATGATTTTTCTTGCAATCAATTTAGCTTTCCATGCCCTTGCCACAGTTATACCCACTGGATAGTTTTTCCTCATATCTTGAATAATATCACAAATCCTTACTTTGTTAAAAGTTATCATTTTCTTGACCATAGTCTTGGCCACCTTGAATTTGCAGATCTATTATCTAAAACTCTAGCACATGTGTGGGTGTCCTTTATAGTCTCATGACATAAATGTGATTGTGACTCACATGAAAACAAAGCATTAAAAAATCAATTTTTTTTCACCTTCAACTCTCATCCTATACCCCTCATTTTTCATAAATGTTATTTCCCTCCTATTTAAAACTGTTCACTCACGAATAGCCTCCCTAAAGTCATATAGGAAATTGAACTCCATACCCCATTTAAACTTAAAATTCATATTAAGTTGATCTTTCTTAAACTTCTCAAACTTAGACCCTTTTTAATCTTCTGAGTTATCAGGATCAGAGCTATTAAGCTCTTCACTAACATACTCCTCATCATCATCACATTTCTTCTTACTTGAACAAGTTAACAACCCTATTATGGCCGGACCCTCATTAAGTGGTATAGTGACATCAATACCATCAAATCCATCAACAATAGCAGTCGTCCTTTCATCCTCACTATCATTCAACCCTTCAACAATCTCTTAATCACTAACCTCTAACTCAGGAACAAACTTGGGACTGCTTTCACTTTCACTTCCACCTGCATCATGTTCCACAAACATTTCCCCGTCAACTTGCATTACACAAGCATAAGCAGCAAAATCATACGCATCCTCATCCTTCATAATCTGGAAAAAAATAGGATCTATGTCAGTGATTTTCGTCCATAATCTGTACGACTCTTATAAGTAACCCCACCCATTTACTATGCTTCGAATGTGAGACATAGTCCACTTATCTACGTGTTTCCCAGAAATCAAAGTAGAAACACCATCCCTGTAAATCGTTTCACCATCACTAAGTTATACGAACTCTCCTCCATGGCGAAAAAGAACGTCAAATAATATACTGAATATTAGAAAAAAACTACAATGCATGTTGTAATCAAGCTGCAGAGACCGTATTTGAAACTTACTTGAGACGATTCGCCCGAAGATTCTTCGTTCACAGCGATTGCTTCGTCTTCTCTGTTCACTTGGTCTTCTCCCATCACAAGTTCACAATTCTAAACCTAACTATTCACAAGGGATGGTAATGAAAGGTTTCTATTGTGGTTTCAATTTTCATTTTAATTTCAACTAAGAATACACAGTCACCCTATTGCAATTGTCACGTAGCAAATTATCATACACAGAGACAACAAACCAAGTAAAAGAATGTGGTGAAAATAATTTATTTGATTTATAAAAGGCGAATCATAAAAAAATTACTTCAAGAGGGCAAAACTAAATCTTGTTCAAATGACAGGGGGACTTATGAAGATGAAGAGAGCAAGAAGAAAACTGAGAGATTGTTTATAATAAGATTTCATAATAGTAATGGCACCAATGAAGTAAACCTCACCACTACCACTAGAGGAGGAAACACCACAGTTAGCGAAGATAGCGATGATAACATACTCCTTCATGTTAAGCGGTCCAGGATTCAACGTAAAACGCCATCCAACAAAACTATACTCTTTCGTCATAAGAGTTTCAGCCATGAACTTTCCTATCGGAAGAACATCAATTTGCATGAGAGGATCATAAACCATGACCGAAAAATCAATACCGGAAGTGATGGATCGTCGGTTTTAGGTACGACCAGAGCTACTTCTTCTATCGGACATCTGTCGTCTGGCAGTGGTGGTATGCCGTTTGATGTTTTTTCTGTGTCTGGAGTTGGATTGTTTGGTGCCATTGCTGAAAGAGAATGAGAACGTGAGAGTGAAGTAACTTTCTCTCACAGTCAAATTCTTCTTCTTCTTCTTTAATTGTGTTGGTTAACATTATGGTGTTTATATAGACACCAATTAAATGGTGAAAAGAGTATAACACGCTTCTTCTTCTCATTTCCAACGTCGGAAGCTGACATGTCATACCGGTGAGAACCGTTGTAATGCCACGTTGGCATAATGGCCAACCTCATAGATTCAATTTTTTTGAAAACAATTATAGGCAACAATTAAACGGTGCTCCGGCCGTGTGAGTGGAGGCGGTGAAAACAGTACCCATTTCCATCGTTGGAAGCCATACGGCGAGGAAGAACAATTATAGTTAATACGGTTCATTTTCTTTTTATAATAAACAAATCACTTTTTAAATTTATTAAATAATTAACATATTTTGTTTAAAAGTGAATTGTTTCTTATAAAAAGAAAGACATTAATGTATGTGATTTTTATATAAAAAATTAGATATATATTCCCTTCATTTTTTATTAAGAATAAAAAATTAATTAATTAAGTTAAATTTTTTTATTAAGAATAAAAAATTAATTAAATTAAAAATTAATTTATACAATTATTTTTAATACAGTGTAAAACATTTTTGTCCTGTCAGTGTATCGCTCCTTTTCTCAAAAATATTTTTTTAATACTTGTAGAAATATCAAAAGGACATGTAGTTAGGGTGGTAAAATGGGCCGTGGCCCGCCGTCCTGGCCCGCGCACCCGCCATAAAATAGAGAGTTGGGTTGAGATTTTGGACCCGCTGCCCACCAAAGTCCGCTCCACTAAAGACAACCACCCGCCAAAATCTGCCCTGCCAAAACCCGCCGCTCGTCAAGTCAGCCACACCTATTCGTTTAGCTTGTCCCACCTTAATCCCATCTTTTTTTTAGTTAGTTCTAGTAATTCTAATTTTTGATGGGTTTATTTTATATATTAATTTGTGAAAGACCAACATGGAATGGTAGACCAATATCGGAGACAAGGTATACAAAGACCAACATTGACTAAGGTATCTACACTAGCATTTCCTTCCCTATAAGATGCATGGTTCTAGCATAGCCAACACAATTTATCCAATGGTTCCTTAAGGTTTAAGGAACAGTGTCTTTGCTCTTGAAAAGCCAATTACAACAAGTGTTGAATCTGTCTCAAGCCTAAGATTATGAACCTGTAAATTATGAGAAAGCTCAATGGCACGAAGAGTTCTAAATATCTCAGTAAAGAATGCAATTTGTTGCGCAACAGGGTTCAACAAAAGCACCCTAAAAATTATAATTTTCATTCCTAAATACACAACCACAAGCCGCCATTGTGGAGGTTGAGGCCCTGTCCAGATTACACTTAATTTAGTCTGGAGAAGGAGGATGCCATATGGTTTCTTTGATGGAAGGAGCTCTGGGAGGGTGGTTAGGAATTTTGAATGATTCGGGGAGAGCAAAGTCATGAATAGAATATGAAGAGAAAATAGTTGTAAAGTTATTGATCAATGACATTGAGGAAGATATCAGAGATGCTACAGTCTTCCAACCAACTGTCTTATTTTAAAATCTGATATGGTTTATAACATACCAAATTGTAGCCACTATGTTAATCACATCTGGTTTGCAGACAAGCAGGCATTTCGGGGAGCTTCAATTGTCACAAGTTTTCCAAATGTCCATGATTGAAGTGATTTGCCAATGAACACCAAGCTTGTGCCAAAGCCATGACCAAAGCTTGGAAGCATACCCACAATCCCAAAAAAGATGCTTAGAGGTTTCTTCTTGTTTAAGGTACAAAGAACAAATAGAAGAGGGACAACATCCCCTGAGCATCAAGTTATCATTAGTGGCCAGCTTGTTATTAATTAGCTTCCAAGAAATGTTTGAATTTGATGGAGGAATATAATTACACCAAACATACTTACAACATGTGTTGGTAATACCTTTTGATCTTTTGAGGTTGTATGCATCCTTTATAGAAAGGTCACCATTATCCAAATTAAACTAGACAAGTTGATCATGTTGGTTGTCCTCAGAGATTACAATGTGTTTCACCTAATTGTGCATGCCAAGGAAGAAATTTAAGGCTTATTGAGGAAAGTTCCACACCTTATTCATCAAGTAATCACCAACCTTGTCATTGATGAGGTGATACAACTGAGATGGAATGGTGAGCATTTGATCTATGGCTTGCGGACCGAGTCACATGTCTCTCCAAAAACTAATTTTTGAGTCAGATCTAATCCCATACAATAATTCTCTTGAACCACATAAAATTCTAACTCGATGTTTCTTCATAGAGAAGAATGAATATGATGATTGATACATGTTTTTGATCTAATGACCACGCTTTTCTAAGATGCAAGCCCATTCCTTATTAGACTACAAAAGCTTCCAACATAACACCAAGATTGAGGCCTCATTTAGAGCAGCCAGAGATCTAACCCCCACCCCTTCTTAATTGTAAGGCCTACACATTTTCTTCCAAGCCACAATAATGAGTTTCCTCTAAGCTATATCCTCAGCCCAGATGAAATTCTTGATCCATATTTGCAAATATCTTAGTAAGGAAACTGGCCAACCATATAAAGAAATTGAGTAAGTGATCATACTTTGAATCATTCACCTAACCAATTGATTTCTTCTTTAAAAAGACAAGAGGGAAGCTTTCCAAGTTGCAAGTTTTATTTTGTCATCTATGGGATACAAAAGTCTAACTCTTGGATTTCCTTTTAAAATAGGGACTCCAAGGTACCAAAAAGGAAGGTAACCAGTGTTGAAACCAACAAAGCTTTTCTAATTTATGCAACTTTCCCTTCGAAATATAACATGTAAATATGGCGTACTTTGTAGCATTAACCATTTGACATGAACAAAGAGAATACCTTGTGAAGATCCTCTTCAGAGAACAAAGGTTAGGGTGACTACTGTTGGATTTGAGACTTCACAAATAAGAGGGGGTGAATTGTGTGGTTAAAAAACAAAGGTGATTTTGAAAATCTTTGGAAAATAAAACCAGTTTAAAAACATTTTTAAATACTTAGCAGAGGAAATAAAAGGCAGAAAATAAATTGCGGAAATAAAGAGTTAAGGGGAAAAAAGAACACCAAGAATTATAAAGGTTCAGTCAAAATAAAAGGACCTACCCCTCTCTCTAAGAATTGATCTTAAGAGTTTCCAATAAAAGTTGAGAGCTTTTAGTAGAAAAGACTCATGAACCCCCTTATACAAGGAAATGATGGTTGACCTTTGTCGCGGTGCAAAAAATACTCGAGGATAATGAACACACAAAATATAACAGAGTCTCCACCGAAGTTTATTTATTCCAAAAGGAAAGGGAAAATATCGATAAAACCCTTAAAGAACAAAAAATGGCCGTCACAACCAAATTAGGATTCAAAAGTCGGTTATGCAAGGAGAAGGTATAACACCCCTCACATCTGTTGTACCCAACGAGAACCATTTAGTTAGTTTTGCGAAATAATGTGATCATAATGTTATTTGATTTATTCTAATTATGCGTTTAAAAAGATAAAGAAGGACTAAAAATAGATTTTTTTATTCGAGTGTCTGACAAGACATTAGATCTCGCTCATACGTATTCTCTGGTGTGATGAAGAACTCAAGACTACACAGTTCTTAGTAGAAACGAACCGCGTGTTGGTTGATTTTAATGAACAATGTTAAGATCATATTCTAGCAGTTAAATGTTGCTTGTATACTCACGCATGAGAGGCTTAAGCGTTTGTTTGTATTGCGGTAGAATGGATAGAACAATGTTTGTTTATGAAAATGTTTGCGGTCGCGCTAAGGCAGAAAAAAGAGATTTGATTGGTTGAAATTGATTTTAGGTGATGACGAGTATCCATACAGTAAGCTCTACAGTTAGTATCCAAATACTCGGGGAAGAAAGAGGCCTACGCCCATTTAATCCTTTTTCACCGACTTTATTGTAAAAATTTTGAGGCGAATAGAATCGCGATTCTTTAAATGAAAGGCAAGTATTCAAATAGTAATATCTACATCTAGTATCCAAATATTCAGGGAAGGAAGATGTATACACCCAATCAATCCTTTTTTATTCGTGAAATAATGAACTAAACTCAGTTAATTATTGTGTTTTGGTTTGGAAGACGAGTACTCGAACAGTAAGCTCTACAACTAGTACCCAAGTACTCGAGGAAGGAAGAGGCCTATGCCCAATCAATCTTTATTCATCTGATTAGTTAAGAAAAAGGTTTATCGTGCTTTTGATTAAAATAGGAAATTGACTTGATGTTGATCAAGTGCTTTTATTTTACATTTGTTTTGAAAGTAATTTGATTGTGAAATGGTTTTATTTTGACGATGAAAATGGTTTTGAAGTTTGATGAAGGTTAGTGAAATGTTTTCTTAAATACTTGATGTTGATCAAGCCTCTTTATTTCACATGTTTATCGAAATCGACTGATCTTCTACATTCTCAGTTTATGATATTGCGTCACTTATTTACACATTCTCCCCAAATCTCTCAAGTGTTTATGTATTTATTCACTCAAAATTTGTAGTATGCACTATTATACCATATATTTGAATAGATTATATAATTAATGACACACAATTTTTTAGGTGTTTAAGGTAAAAATGGGGCTAGGGTTCAGGTAGGATATATTTAGAGAGTAGATTAAAACTTGGTGTAATACAGTGGGAGAACTGACTTTTTTGGTTTTATCCAAATATGCGGATAGCAAGAGTCGCTACTGACTTTTCTTTTATCCAATATTTAGGTAAGGTGAAAAGAACAGGAAAGACTTGATAGATTTTGAGTTCGAGGGGCAAGTTATGAAAAAGGAAGGTGTTAGCACCTTTTTTATCCGTAGTTATCTATGGGATCTTAATTTCTTAGCTCACTTTTGAAAACTTGCTTAGTGTGTGTGTGTGATTTATTTGAAAATATTTTGAAATCTCCAATGTAAGGCTGACTTTGTAATGATTCTTGTATCAGTCCT